ATAACGAAAGCTACAATCAAATAGCTTTCGTGCCGACAAATGAAGATTACAAATAGAGGACTTTTCACACAGATCGAGAAGAGTTACAATTCGACGACGCTTCCGACAGCTGATGAAAACTCTATTCAGTCGCCTTCACAATCAACAGTGAGAGTTACAATCTGACGACTCTCATATCCTATAACAGGCAAAGATCAATAAGCGGTAGCCTTTGCAGTGTTATAATAGACGAGGTTACAAATCAACAACCACTCTCAAACGCAGAACTCATCTCTGCATTTCTCAAATTCAAAACACAGACGAGCTGTGCATTCTCCAACAAGACGTCCAGATCTGCAACGCAGAGTTAAAACACAAAACGCACGAACTATGCGTCATTCGGCAAACACTCAACACTGCATCCCAAATCCAGAACGCAGAGTTGAGAACCCAACACATGAGCGGCCTGTGCGTCTCAAATCTCTAACAGAGATTTAACTCTGCGTCCCAAGCCTTGGACGCAGAGTTAAGGCCTAGAACGCCAATTGAGGCGTTTTGACTTGTTCAAACACAAGTCGAACGGCCTCAAAACCGTTATCCCACGTTCTGAGGGATTTTCGCCCACTTAGGAGCGGATTTAGGGGTTGGTTACAACCCTAATCCCCCTATAAATAACCAACTTACTCAACTGAGTAGGGGGTTGTTGACGTGTGCTGGCATCAAAACCGTATAAGGTTAACACATCTCAGCAGCTTAACCGCACAGAGAAGGCGATTTTCCAAGAGATCAAAGAACTGATCAGCAATCAGTTAATCAAATCTTGAAGAATCCCTTCACCAACGGCGGATTTATTTGGCTATTAACCGAATCTTCGGTTCTAACAGCTTTGTTACAGAGTCTCAACTCATCCTGAGTTCTGAAACTCATTTAAGAATTGGTAATTAAGCTTGCAACGCAAGGTAATTACACCAAGTCAGTTATTCGGTCCTCAACAACTCTCTTCAGAGTTTTCAACTCGTTCTGAGTCCATTAAACTCGTTAAGAGTTCTAAACCGGATTCATCAAACAAGTCAATCGTTCCAGTGAATTAAGACGGTCGGATCGTCAACGGAGAGCAAGTTCGACACAATCAATCGAAGGAGGCACTCCATCGCTACCAAGAAGAACCCAGTTTTAAACAAAGGGGAGAATCAAATTCATTCTCCTTTCTTTTGTAATCGGAATCCAAATTGTAATTGATTTTGAGAGGAATACAAGTCAAAATTTTCTTTCATTGTCTTTTTACAAACGTACGAGTATAAACTGTGTCAACGTACGACGTTCGAAACCCTAGGGTCAACGTCGGTCAACGCGTTGCGATCAAAAAGTCAACGCGAATCAATATATCATGACGGAGATAGTCAGTTCAAAGTCAACTCAATGACACGAGCCAAACTCAACTCACCGGTGGTAGACTCGAGACTCCGACGACGGCCAGGCGATAAATGCAGCGCCGGAAGGACTTCGGCTATTCGTCAAAGCATCGAATAGACCGAAAATTAAAGGAGCCAAGAGTTAAAGCTAACTACATGTCCTTTACACCAATCGAAGGCTAGACCAATCATATCCAAAGTATTCCAGCCTCTTCTATAAAAGAAACGAGTCTGGAACGCTTTGGAGGGGGTATCTGTAGGCATCGAAAATTGTCTATAGGTCTCCACGAACAGCTCAAAGCTAAGAGAAGACGATGAACGTCACTATCCAAGTCATAGAAGCTTGATTGATGTCGACGAACGCTTGAAGTGAATCGGCGAACTATGTGAAGCAACGGAGTTTCAGAATAATAAGGATACGAACTGATCGGGAGCCCCGTGTCACTTACAAAAGACGGAATGCCCTTCGTGTCTCATTTATTCCACAGATGATCTAATCATTGGAGCTTATAGAACTATTCTTCAGCTTTCCAACGCATTTGGAATCACTCAAGTCCGAGTTCGGACGAAGAATTTTCGACACAAACAACCCTCTTTCACATTTCTATGCATATATATACAAACGCAATAAACAACTCTTTCTAAAGGTAAAATTACGCAGAACAATATATTTAGTAGAAACATTTGCAAGAGATAAGAAAAACATTAATCAACATATCTAAAAATATAGTTATGGTTGATATTATAAATAAATGTGATGATGCCTTCACTAGGGAAGCAGTAGAGATTGAGACAGCAAAGAGAAAACTAGCGAAAAACTCAAACGAAGAAAGATAACCAGGAGATTCACGTTAATCTTCAGTATAGTACTAATTATATTATGTTTCATTATTAAAAAATTTCAACCTGTACTACGTAAGTACAAAATTTCCTAACACTGATTCATACCATATATCTTCATACTAATTTGTCACATGGCTTTGTTCAACAATAAGATAATACAGGCATATGCGTTTCTGATGAACATTCATGAAATAAAATTATATGGAATCTTTCGGGAAAACTCTTTTATATTCATTCAAATTTGTGAAATATATAACTGTATTTTATATCTTCCAACAAACTAGGATATTTTGTCCTAGGTTTAACAGTTACAACCGTATAAATATAAAAAATAACTCCAACTGGATTATATAAAAAAAGAGTAAACACATAGACCACAGTCATGCACATTGTATATATTAGTAAAATCACTATAGATTCACTGATCTCTCAAGCAATCCACATGCCATGCACTTAAGAACATAAAAAAGGTATGCATTAACTTGGACAATATGGAAAACATCTCAAGAATATTCACTCATTAGAATATAAAGCATGACCAAAACAGTGAAGGAATTGGGGTTTCCCTTGTAAGTGATGGAATTTACAGTGAGCTTCGTGCTTTGTGGGTTTATAACAGGATGGTGTTTTTGGGTATTGTGGAGGAAAATAGTGGCAAAAGAAAATTCTCCTAATAGCAGTGGTGCTAAGATCCCAAATGGTACAACGGGATGGCCTTTGATTGGAGAGTCATATGAATTTGTTTCATGTGGTCGAGCCTCTAATCCTATGAGCTTCATGCACAAGCGCCGTACATTGTGAGCACATCTATCCCTTTATATCGAACAAATTGTTTTATTTAGTACAAAATTACCAATTGTTTTACATGATACTGTAATTTCTGTTTACGCACATGCATAAAATTTCTCCAACATTCTGTTATTTCTTTACAAGTTTGTTCACATTAAATAAGAACAAAGTGATGCGTTGGTCTCCGATTTGTTTGTTGAGGGCATGGAAAGGATCAATGCCCATGCTAGATGTGTTGGAGTTATAACTTAAAACTTGATTTTGGAGTGGGGAAGTTTAGTCCCACATTGGATAGGAGATGAGAATGAGATTTGTTTATAAGCCTACCATTTCTCTCCTATGCCTAGAAGAAAACATGGGTTATGCTTCACACCACACACGCGCGCACCGAACCGAACCGGGTCGGGCCGAGCTCTGGTTCGGATCGGGAGGCGCGCGCCCACGACCTGCAGACACGGATGCAGCTCAGGATTGAAGGGCCATTAACCTGCTAAAGGGCGAGTTTTGTGGATCTAAACAGCGATTTTCATCCTATATAAGGACCTATAGCTGCGAGGGTTAAGGTACAGATTTACAACAAATCTATTCTCTTCTTCTCCTCTTTTCGAAAATATCATACTGTTGTTACTTTTCTGGTTCTCTGAAAGTCTTGAAGATTTCGCAAAGCCTTCTTGAAGCTCGTGCAGACGAGAAGGAGGTCGCCTGACCAAGGGTCGTCGTATCTCCAAGATCTATTGCCGCGTAGCCCTGTACGAGAGAGAGCAATTAGATTCTTGGGATAGTGTCTTGCACGCTTCAATCATCGGCTATATTCTTAAACCATATTTAAAATTTTGATTCTTAATCTGCATTTCATAATAATTACAGTCTAAACAGCAACTACTTTCCTAACAATCCAAGAATCTAATTCCGCTGTTTAGAATAGTATAATGATTAGTATTTTGTTTCTTATGATAATGCTGTCTACATTTCATAAAAACGACATGTTATACTGCTTGATGATTCTGTTGATTGAATGTTTCAATTATGTCTGTTGCATTATAAATAACAAAACTATTCATTTATCATCAAATTATGGTTATAAGTGAAATCATGTCAGTTAAACCAGAGAAGTTCGATGGGAATAATTTCCGTCGTTGGCAAAACCAAATGAGATTTTGGTTAACGACCCTAAATCTGATAACAGCCATTGAACTTGATATCCATCTTCCTCTAGACCAATCACTAGGCAAGCTTCCGCTGCAGATTTCATTCCTATCCCGAGAACACCTCAAGAGATATAATACCACTGCCTGCACAGAATCTTAGGAGACTTATCTGATAGATTATACAACATCTATTACTCTATCACTAATGCTAAAGTTCTGTGGGAAACACTAGAGAAGAAGTATGGTCTAGATGATACAGGAATTAAAAGATTTAAAGTCTCTGATTTTAACAAATTTAAAATGGTAGATTCCAAACCAATGAATGAGCAAATTCATGAATTCGAACACATAATTCATCAACTAAAAATGAATGGATCTATCTTAGATGAAACATTTCAGGTAGCCTCTCTTATAGATAAACTTCCTAAAACCTGGTCAGATTTTGTCAAAAACCTTAGCCATACCGAAAGAGATCTTACCCTTGATCAAGTGTTGAATGCTATTAGAATCGAAGAGCAACATAGACTGAGAGAGAAAAATGTAACAAATCCGAACCCAAAGTAAACAATGTAGAATCCACCCTTTCCCAAACACAAGAAGGAATCCTATCATCAGACCCTTCCACCAAAATCAAAATAAAACGTTTAAGAAGAAATCATATCATCAGAATAAGAACACTGTCCACTTTCAAAAGAAGGAAGGAGCTGAACGTCGAGCATGTTTCATTTGTGGACGAACCAACCACCTCGCTAAGGACTGCTTTTGCAAGAAGACTAAACCACTCAAGCCTAGGAAGGGAGGACCTCCACCAAATGAGATCCAAGTAAACATGGTGACTTCCAGTTCAGCTGAGATTGCTTTCAGGTTTGTTCTCTTTACCCTTGAAGTAAACATGACCTTTCAAGCAAATGATGGGTGGATTGACACTGGAGCTAACATTCACGTCTGCTCCAATCAATCTCAGTTTTCCACTTATCAAGTCTCAAGTAGAGGAACTGTGACTATGAGAAATAATGATGTGGCTCCTGTATCTGGAATAGGTCGGATCAACCTAAAGCTGACTTCGAATAAGACATTGATCCTGCAGGATGTCCATCATGTATCAGACATTAGGAGAAACTTGATTAGCGGATCTTTGTTAGTGCAATAATGCTATAAAACTTGTTTTTGAATCAAATAAAGTTGTAATAACTAAATGATTGAATTTTATTGGAAAAGGATTTTTATGTGCTGGTCTTTTTAAATTGAATGTTAAGAATTCCACTCTTGCATCTCCAATGGCTTTGAATATTGAACCTTCTATTATTTGGCATCAAAGATTGGGACACATGAATTATAATTCATAAAAGATTGATGCATCTCAATATAATTCTAAAGCTTAATATAAAAGATAATGAAAAATGTGAAATATTTATAGAAGCTAAACTTCCTAAGAAACCCTTCAAAACTATTGATAGAGATTCTGAGATATTAGAACTCATCCATAGTGACGTTTCTGATTCTGGAAGAACATCTAGAGGAGGTAATAAACACTTTGTAACTTTTATAGATGATTGTTCTAAATATTATTATCTCTACTTAATTAAGACAAAAAATAAAGTGATAAACAAAGTCAAAATATATAAAGCAGAAGTTGAAAATCAATTGGATAGGAAAATTAAAGTACTTAGATTAGATAGAGGTGGTGAGTACACTTCTAATGAACTAAAATAATTTTGTAAAGAGAATGGAATCATTCATGAAATAACTGCTCCATATACACCTCAGTCTAATGGAGTAGCTGAAAGAAAAATAGAATACTAATGGACATGGTAAACTCAATGTTAATTAATTTTAGTGTGCCAGAGAACCTATGGGGAGAAGCCCTCATGACTGCTTGTCATATACTGAATAGAATTCCATTCAAAAATTTTGATAAAACTCCTTACACGATTTGGAAGAATAGAAACCCCAATTTAGATCACCTAAAAGTGTGAGGGTGCTTAGCAAATGTTAAGATACCTGAGAATAAGAGAAAAAAGATAGGCCCTAAGACTGTAGATGGAATCTTTATTGGTTATGCTTCTAATAATAATGCAAACGGATTTTTAATAATCAAATTCTGATATTAATGAGATAGCCAATAACACTATTGTTGAAGCTAGGGATGCTCATTACTTTAAAAATATTTTTCCTTACAAAACCAGAGTAAGTAACTCAGATCCTAACTCTAACAATTCATATCCTAGTTCTAATCCTACTTCGAACCAAGGTGAAACTAGCTCTAGTTAAAACAGACCACTAGAAACTCCAGAGGAACCCAAGAGAAGTAAGAGAAGTAGAATAGAAAAGGTCCATGAAGATTTCCATGCATTACCTGTAGAAGACTCTCCAACCATATTTGAGGATGCAATGAAATCAATAGATGCTCCATTTTGGAAGGAAGTTACTAATAATGAGATTCAATCTATAGTTCAAAACTAGACTTGGGAACTCACTGATCTTCCTCCAGGCTGCAAAACTATAGGATATAAATGGGTATTTAAGAAGAAACTCAGACCTGATGGAACAATTGATAAGTATAAAACCAGACTAGTAGCTAAAAGATATACCCAAAAGTCTGGTATTGATTATTTTGATGTCTACTCTCCAGTAGCTAGGATTACTACCATTAGAGTCCTTATAGCTCTAACATCCATTCACAAACTAATAATACATCAAATGGATGTTAAAACAACATTTTTAAATGGTGACTTGGATGGAGAAATTTATATGGATCAACCAGAGGGATTTGTTGCTTCTGGACAAGAGAAGAAAGTATGCAAGCTTATTAGATCACTATATGATCTCAAACAAACTCCAAAACAATGGCACATGAAATTTGATGAGATTATACTATCTTATGGATTTGTAATTAATCAAACAGATGTGTGTATATCATAAAATAGATAATAACAACAAAATTATGATTTTATTCTTATATGTTGATGATATTCTTATTTTTGGTTCTAATATACAAACCATAAATGATATCAAACACTTTTTATCACAAAACTTTGACATGAAAGATTTAGGTCAAGCTGACCTAATTCTTAACACTAAAATCTTGAAGAATGAGAATGGATAAAGATTTAGGTCAAGCTGACCTAATTCTTAACACTAAAATCTTGAAGAATGAGAATGGATATGTGCTATCACAATCACATCACTAAAATCTTGAAGAATGAGAATGGATATGTGCTATCACAATCACATTACATAGAGAAAATTCTCAAAAACTTTTATGATCCAAACTGTCAATCTGTTTCTACACCATATGATCCTAATGTACATCTAAAGAAAAATATAGGTTTTCCTTAATTACAAAGAGAATATGCATAAATAATTGGATCATTAGGATCCCTGACAAACTATACTAGACCTGACATTGCCTATGCAGTAAATAGACGCAGTAAATAGACTTAGTAGATATACATCATCCTAATAAGAATCATTGGAATGCTCTAGAAAGAATTTTAAGATATCTAAAAGGAACTATGAATTATGATTTATATTATAAAGGTTATCCATCTGTATTAGAAGGTTACTCTTAGTGACTCAGTGGATGTAAAATCCACCACTGGATTTGTGTTCCTTTTAGGAGGAGAAGCTATTCCATGAAAATCTACTAAACAAACTGTAATGGCTAGAAGTACAATGTAATCAGAAATGATAACCCTTGATACTACTAGTATAGAAACTGAATGGTTAAAAGATTTACTAATTGAAATTCCAATAATACAAAAACTATTACCAGCTATTTCTATTCATTGTGATTGCAGGTCAGCGATTGACAAATGTCATCAAGAGAATACAAATGTGAAAATGAATCGACACTTGAAAATACGACATAAATCCTTGAGATATAAGATGAAAAACCATGTAATAGCCTTAGACTTTGTAAGATCAGAGAAAAATATTACAGATCACTTAACTAAAGGCTTATCCAAGGCAGTTGTCCTAGAATCATCGAGGGGGATGAGGTTAAGCCCATAAGAAAAATCACTGCAGTGACAACCCAACCTCGCAGAGGTTTAATGGGTAGAAACAAACTGGATGAGTGATTGATTGTGAGGAGCACTGAATTCATTTGCTCCCATCCCTAGGATGATCAGTGCTCATAAAAAGCAAGTGAAAGATTGAGTTTAACTCTTAATGAATCCAAGACCCATGAGGCAGGATGCTTACTTGCTCGCATCCTTATTAGGATTTACCTATATGTGTGTAGTTGTGAGGCCGCGACTATAGGACCAGGGCTACTCCCTAGTAACACACATGAAAGATACCTGCGCAAGGCCAATAATAGCGCAACCCAGTTAGAATTCTTCAAAACTGTACTATGTGTGCTTTTTGTAGAAATCCGATAAATGAGACTAGTTCAAGGCGTAGTCCACTAAGCTCTCACGGATCTATACAACTGTCACTAAGTAAAGGTTCAAACCGAAAGGTACCTCCACCTATTACATAGTATAAAGGAACCAGCAATCTTGTTTTCAAAGTTCTTCTTTTACTCTTATTTTTGAGTTATTCTAAGTTTAAGTTATGTGGGGGGTTGTTAGAGTTATAACTTAAAAGTTGATTTTGGAGTGGGGAAGTTTAGTCCCACATTGGATAGGAGATGAGAATGAGGGTTATTTATAAGCCTTCCCTTTCTCTCGTATGCTCAGAAAACATGGGTTATGCTCCATACCACACACGCGCACGCCGAACCGAACCGGCCCGACCCGACCCGGGCTCAGGTTCGGGTCAGAGGCACGTGCCCACGACCTGCGGACAAGAATGCAGCTCCGGATTGAGGGGCTCTTAACCTGCTACATTTAGATTTTTATTTTTGCAAATTGGAACAATTAAAATGTGTTAAACATTTGGCTGCGAGGGTTAAGGTACAGATTTACAACAAATCTATTCTCTTCTTCTTCTCTTTTCGAAAATATCATCCTGCTGTTACATTGCTGGTTCTCTAAAAGTCTTGAAGATTTCACAAAGCCTTTTTGAAGCTCGTGCCGACGAGAAGGAGGTCGCCTGACCGACCGACGAGAAGGAGGTCGCCTGACCGAGAGTCGTCGTATCTCCGAAATCTATTGCCGCGTAGCCCTGTACGAGAGGGAGCAATTAGATTCTTGGGACAGTACCTTGCACGCTTCGATCATCAAGCTATATTCTTAAACCCTATTTAAAATTTTGATTCTTAATCTGCATTTCATGATAATTACAGTAAACAACAACTACTTTCCTAACAAGATGCATCCTAAAGAGTCTAAAATATAAGGATATGAATCAATTATGTCAGTTACGGCATAAACGTCATAGACCAAAGGGCCAATGCATTATAATTATGACAGAAATTTTCCTTCCATTGTGTTCTTGGCTTTATCTAAACAGAATTTGTTCATGAGTGACAAGCCATACCTGCCTCATCATAAAACCCAGGCACTATAAAGCAATATATCATAAGGTAGCTTTAATTGCACTTTCTTTTGTGACTAACTGCCAGACTGCCTTAGTAGGAACTTTGAAATCCAAAGCTTTCTGCAATTACACCAGCTACTAGAAGAAGTAATCTAATTTACATGCCTAAATTAAATTCCATTAAAAGCTAACAGAACACAATGTGCCCTGATAATCCTCATTAAAGTAAAGTACTTAAGCACTGCAACCTTAAAAGTTATGAGTTTGTTGTTACAACGGTCATTCTAATTATCACTAACACGCTCTTCAACTGATCTTTCCAAAATCATATTTGAGTATAATCTAAATTGTATATGCAATATATCAACATGTGCATGATTGAAACGCCTCCTCCATAAAATTCTAACAACGAAAATAAACTCTCTGGGTTTAAGATTTCAGCAAAGATTTAGGCCGTGAAGCGACATGTTTCATTCCTTTAGGCAATGAACCAGAGACGTCCATATGTTCTAAAAGTTTTTATGTTCCATTCACAGATTTGTAATAACATAAGTGCTAAATAATTTTATACTAAATTGTGTGAAATGCTTTCCTGATAAAATACAAGCATAGCATACTCAAATATTGTCTCTTTAACTGTGACATGATCAACAAATTTAATGTCAGGTATGGTAAAGTATTTAAATCTCACCTATTTGGAAGACCAGTCATAATCTCCACAGATCTGGAAGTAAATAAGGCAGTGTTGCAAAATGATAGCAGTACCTTCATCCCTTTCTACCCCAAGTCTGTCCTCGAGCTAATGGGAGAGTATTCCATACTGCTAAATAATGGAGATCAACACAAGAGATTGCATGGTCTTGTTGGTGGCTTCTTGAAATCACCTTTTCTGAAGGATGAAATAACAAAAGATATTCAGCAGTCTGTAGAGTTTTGTATCAAGAGTTGGAAGGGCAGCAAACAAATATATATCCAAGATGAAACAAGACGGGTGAGTAAAAAGATCTATTTGCTAATTATACAAACTACCTAATTCCTTATTATATCATAGGCAGCACATAATTGTGGCCTTAACATTATAACAATTAACAAATTAGCAGTGGGGCAGCTAGTTTACTATTGATATAATGTTCACATTTATCTTGTCTAACACTAAGAGAACATAAGTGTTGAACATGTTGAGAAAAAGCTGTTGTGTTGACTGTTGATTAACATTTAATGACTGATAGAATTTTCACTCAAGAATTATTGGAGACAGAAATATTGGTGGGCTTTTTTAATTAAGGGATATACTATTTCAAAAATGATTTAAGTAATAGGCTCTCTCTTAAAACTGTTACAAGCCCATCCTTGAATGGAGTGGACTTTACCAACCAAGAACACGTGGGTGAAAGCTTTATTGTTATTTTTGTTTTTCATAGTAAGCTAGATTGGAAGATAACAAAGGGTCTTTCTTAAAACTAACTCTTCTCTACAAAATTTTAGCATCAAAAGGTGTTTTAGTTTTTAGTATATGAAACTAAAAGTAGTTGACACTTATCTAAGAACCAAATTTTTAATTGAAAATTCACATGTGTTGGCATGAATAGACTGCTCAAAGTAGAAAGAAGGTCATCCCTCTTTCAGGCTATTAAAATGATCAAAGATAAATGCATTATCCTGGTTTTGAAATAGGACCATATTATATCTCTTAATGTCATACTTCATTAAACAGAATACATTCTACATATAAAAATAAATAAATTAATCATATTCTGCAAAAAGTACTTGACTTATGCTCAGTCATTTGACAGATAACATTTCCAGTATTGGTTAAAGCTTTATTGAGTATCGAGTCAGGCAAAGAGATGCAGTTTTTGAAAAGAGAGTTTTCACAGTTTATCAAGGGCATAATTTGTGTGCCCATCAATCTCCCTGGAACAAGGCTACACAAGTCCTTACAGGTAAATTATACAAGAAAATAACCATATCCAAGAAACATTATCTTCTACTTTCATGATATTGTTACTGAGTTACTAACCGTGATATTACTAGTGACATAGGAACTAAGTCGGCATTTTAACATCTTTTATCCAGGCCAAGGACAGAATGCTGACGCTAGTAAAGAGGATCATAGAAGATAAGATTAAGAATGGTATATGCAGCACACCGAGGGATGTAGCTGATGTTCTATTGAAAGAAATGACAGAGGCATCAGGAAAGGAGAAGCCAACTGTTGACTCTATATGCAATAATATAGTGGAGATGATGATACCTGGAGAGGATACAGTCCCTACATTGATGACTCTTGCAATTAAATTTCTCAGTGATTGCCCATCTGCATTGAGGCAGTTAGTGGTATAAACTCTCTGATTCACAGTTATACTTTAAAAAAGTATTTAAGCCATATGACTGAGAATTATAAATTCATTTTGCTTGTGCAGGAAGAGAACATGCAGCTGAAAAAGGATAAAGAGTTCATGGACAAACCTTATACTTGGAGTGACTATTTATCATTGTCCTTCACAAACAATGTGATTAATGAAACTCTTAGGATGGGAAACATTATTAACGGAACATGGAGAAAATCTCTCAAGGATGTGCAAATCAAAGGTATCAAGTAATGCTGAAACTTGGTGATGATCGTATCTCAAAACATAGATGATGACATAACATCAGTTAAACTAGTAACATATGTATTATTTTATTTGGTAAATATATTCATATTTTTTTAAGAGGAAGCAGTATTTATAACAACTGAAACTAGTAAATTTTGTGATCATGGGGAGTTAGACTTAACAGATGAGCAGTAAAAGTGGGTAGATTGATTAAAAACATTTTCTTTTGCAGAATTTCATATCGAAACCTTCTAGTTGGAAGCATGCTTTTAGTATTTAATATCCAAACCCTTATTGTTTTACAGGATATTTAATTCCTAAAGGGTGGTGCATCATGACATCCTTCACTTCCATTCATATGGAGGAAGAGAATTATGAAAACCCATATGATTTTGATCCCTGGAGGTGGCAGGTAAGTACAAAATAGAGTAACAAAAGAAAAAAGAAAAGTTTGAATCTAACTATTATCATTTAATTAGCAGAGGAAAGAGAACAATCTACAGAGTGCATTCACTCCTTTTGGGGGGGGTCAAAGGCTGTGTCCAGGAATGGAACTCTCTAGACTGGAAGTTGCCATTTTTCTCCATCACTTTGTCACCAATTTCAGGTATAACCCAACCCTAATATGTTTACAAACTCATGGATGACATAGTGAATTAAAGACAATGATTAAGCCAAAGAAATCAGATGGGCAATTGTCACATCAACTATGTAAACAGATATTATCAATTCTATCCAGAAACTTCAGAATTAATGTGTAACTAATTCATTCTTGAATAATGAATACTATTGTCATACATATGAATTTTTCTGGAAAGCACTGTAATGCCTTTCGTCATAGTGTCTACGGTGCACAGAAAATTCATAAGATACCATGCTACCGATACAATTCTTTTACGGGTTTTGCCAATAATTTATATGTCCTAGACTCCTAGCTTCCAAATTAATGAACTGCATCTACCACATTTTAGTTTTCATATAGTTTAATATCATTAAAATCTACCATGTGAATGCTAATTTGATATGCCCTTCATATTATGAGTGCAGTTGGGTGGCAGAGAAAGACACCATAATCACCTTTCCAACAGTGAAGATGAAGAAAAGACTGCCTGTCACCTTGTTATCTATCACCTAAATTTTACTTTATCTCTTCTTGCACCCTTCGTTGTTTTTCATATGGGATCAAATAAACTGTAATATTTTTGGAAATTAACAGTGAAGCGGTGTATTGCCAGTCATCTATAGGACCTTAAATTCAAGTGCATGCTTTGTGCTCAATTATAGATGCCATAAAACTGTGGAAACAATAGAACCTTTCTATTAAACAAAAAAGCAAGAGAAAACATTTGAGGCGGTCTGGAAATTGTGTAATGGAGACTAGTGGATCAAGTAAATGCAGTGATAGATTCATTGTTGAAGATGCTAATAGGATGAAGAGTAGAACAAAAAAACTATGATGAAAGAGGAGAAAAATGATAGTTTGTCACTCATTTGATTTGACAGCTAATTAAGGCAAATGAAGGGGGAAAATATTTATATAACCAGTTAACTAATGGGACGAAATGCTTTGCTGTTGCTGTTGATACAGAAGTGTGTTGGCAAATCAATTAGAAAGGAAACATGTAAATTTCGACTAATGCACCAAAAACTTATATTCTAGTCAATAATAAAACGAGACACATATATGAGTGTACGAACACATGAATACTCCTGCAACACTAAAAAATCTCCTGTTTATGCACTACAAACTTCAAATAGAGCAACACTAACCTATCCAGTTTGTGGCTTCAAAGCTGAAACTAGAATTCCTGCGACATGCTACGAATCTTTTGTTTCCAAAATGTCAAAAAAATTCATAAGCGATTGATATTTTAAGTTCTCCATTTTGTGACTTCAAAGGTAAGGAGTCTGCACTAAGTTGAGCCACAAAAGTCACAAAAGAAACTCAATTTATAAATGGATGTCCACAAAAGCCTAATATTTTTTTAAGATAATCCTTGCATGTAAAATATATATATATAAAGGAAAGGCGTAACTGGACAACTAATCGAGCATGTTTAAAGCTAAACGGAAAAATTTAACAGCAATGAAACAAGTGAAGTAAGCTCATCCTTGTAGAGGCCTTCTTAGGCAGGGATTAGTTGATCATGCTCGAAAGGATTTCAGAAGAAGGACATGCAGTACCTTCGACTTGCACTCCATGAAATACCTGCAGAGGACATGTTGCTAACAATTCATTCGTTAAGACAAAAAATTGCCTCATTAATCTTCTGCGTTTTACTCAAATTCCATACTTTCCTCTCCCATGTTCTTCCTCCGTCCACCCACAAAAGCCTGTAGCAAAGAAATCAGAATATCATGTTTGGTAACTCAACTCTACAAAGAAAGAGGAACTGCAGATGGTTATTGAAATATTTTTTAAAACAAAGCTCTAAAGAGTTGAAGATAACAAGATGAATTTCTCCATACGGCTGAATTTGAACAGTTGCTTCATCAGGTCACTTGGAAGTCTTAAAAACAACCCCCATAATGTTATTTGTATTATCAAACAAAATTTTAATAGAAGACAAGAAAACAAATTGGAGATGAATTGTTATGTCCGTTCAGTGTTCTATTCATATCAGAATAAAAAATCAAGTGGATTTGAGAGTATAAATCTCTGAATCAAGTAAAAATCAGAATAAGTGGCTTTTTAAGACCGTTACAAACTTACATGCTGTTCATTTTAATCAAAAGGTACATCGGCTGCAAATTTCCAATATGATTGATTTTTCCATAACTTTAAATTGTGTCAATCACAATCAATGGTCTGGATTATCGATTTAAATTGCCCAGTACACTGATTTATAGGCGTCCATAACTTCTATTTGCTATTCTATGTGTATTTCAAACTTATCAGCACCCACCCACAAACACACAAACGAACGCATGGAGATCTTCAGACGAGAACTAGTCCTCAAACTAAGCTTGTGAAAACCCCACATTCAAATTATGCTTTGGTGATTCCAATGTTCATCACTCTAACCATACAAAAAGTCAATGACCAAAAGATCAGAAAGTTTCAAACTTCCATCCATACGCTAAATGCTGCCACTTTTTATGACTGAAATGGTGTGCTTCTAGGACTAACTTATAAAAAATTAAATGTGGACACCACTTAAATCTCTTTTAGACTAATATTAATGTGTTGGAAAAAATGGACAATGCAGATCATCCAGGAATGGACCAATATGTCCTCACAAAATTTCTAACGGCAGTGTTCTTACTTCAAATTTTCAAGTCACAATGCACCACACATGCATACATGAAAGGGCAATGGCTGGCTGTTTGATGCAAAAAGAGAGGTACCAAATGATGAATGAAATAGAATCTTTCAAAGCTGAGAAGATTGTTGATATAGGTCTTGTGATGTATAGATCAAGAAGAATAGTACACGGTAACTCAGAATGCAACCTTATAGATAAATAAGTGCAGTTGCATAGAAACCTCACAAACACTCTCCTAATAAAGTGTTGGAAAAAAATTGGATAAATGCCCTACATGTCAGCCTACGCCTCTACTCATCCAATGTTCCATGTTTGCGAGCTCAAGAAAAAACTGGATGCTGAGGTGGTTATACAAGTTAAGCCACAAAATATATTAGAAAACTAATTGATGAACCCAAGCCAATTTTAAACATAAGGATCATCACAAATAATGATGAAAGGGAAGCAGCACGATGCCTTTGATATTACTTAGCGAATTTATTGGGTCTTTTCTTGTAGCAGTAAACTTATAAATGCCACTGAGATGCTATTTGCAAAATTTTGAGGCAATAACCACTCTTGTTGAGGCACTTGTTTGAGCATTGCCACTGATGTATTCCTAACTATTTAATTCACTTTCTAATGGAAGCAAGGCTCATCGAGTTGCAGCTGCTGAGGTATATCAATAGGTATCTACTCCCTCATTCTACAAGCATTTTTTCCCCTTACAAAGAGAAAAAAAAAAGAGGTTAATTGCTAATAGACCCCGTGTATTACCACCCATTTTGCGATTTGACCCAACTAGTTCTATCTGTGCGAACAGACCCCCTGTAATATTGGCCCTATTGCGATACACTGCCTTAGTGAACTTTTAGACTCTTTTAAAAAAAAAAAATAGCAACTGGGGATCTATCCTCACCAATAGAACTATAGGGGGTCTATCCACTTCCTCAAACATTTAAAAAAATCATTCCGGAGGATCTATTCGCACAAATATAACTACAGCGGTCTATTCACAATGGGGTGATACCAAAGGTGGACTATTCATAATTAACCAAAAATAAAAATAAAAAACACCCATAATAGTTATTCTCTCGTCTCCCTCTCTTTTCTCAATTAGGGTTGCAGGGAAATTCAATCGTTGTTTAACGGCAAAAGGAGGTCAAAATTCTCAATATACCTAATTCATTTTTGCTACGCTATCGCAAATCCATCAAAATTACAATACTGCCAGTTAGAACCAAACAACTCCTGAATTGTAACACCCAAAGTTCTGCTATGCACATAAAACATCATCTATAAGTTGCATATCTTGTTTTAACATGGCAAGAGTTCAAACCAAACTACTCCTCGACCCGGGTTTTGTTAGATGCTTCGTATTGTCGCTTCTTCTTTTTCGTTTCTGCTATATGCTCCACTTCTCTTATGCATATGAGCCTACAGATGGCTTATAACAATGACTTATAACAATGGCTTATAATATTGTCTAAATTCCCTTACAGTGTTCTGAAAAGACTTAGGAGAACTCCCCCTTACAGGCAGGAAACCCAATTCTGTTAGATGCTTCGTATTTTCAACCTATTATCCTAATATACCATAAATTACATATAAAAACCCTAAGAACAGAACTTACTCGTAGACGTTTCCGCCGGCGGCGGCGGCGGTGATTTTTAAGAGAGAGAAGAAGAGGGTTGAGAGAGAGAGAGAGAGATACTGACGCGGATTAGAGAGAAAAGCAGAGGGGAAGGATTTTGAGTGGGAATGGAAAGCTGAGAGGAGGAACGGTAACGGGTCGAATCCCTATTGGGTCCAGCCCCAATGGAAATGGGATCTGGACTTTAGGCTTTTCGGTACGGACCGTGCTGTTTGGCTCTCTCTGAGGGTGGGACCCAATGGAAATGGGATCTGGACTTTAGGCATTTTTGTTTCGGTACTCTCAACTTTTATGGGTTGTCTGGAAGTTTATTATAATGGGGGGTTATTGGTTAATGTAATTTTAGGGTAAGTGGGATAATTTTTGGGACTTTACTTTATGGTCTTGTTGATGCTCGTAAACAAACAGTCGATGAGGATTGCAGAGTTGTTGGATCGTTGAGAGGGATGGAGGTCCGCTTTCCTTCTTCGACTTTATGTCTGGTTCTCCGAGTTCGGGGTGGGCGGATCACCTGCACACACAAGAATCACGGGGTATGGGGCCTGTTCCCCGTGGTACCTCCGACGATCAAATTAGCTGGTGTACTTTTTTTTGGGAATAGAGGGATAGTATCCTCTTCCAATATGTAACTAGAGAATTTTCTTTAGTAGCGATGAAGAGACCAGACCCGCTCCTGTGGTGAATAGTGTTTTTACTTATAGAGGACGCCAGGGGCAGTATCGACACTTTGTGGGAGTGCGGTTCATGATGATGGCGAGGGATGGGCTGGAGGCTGAGTCATCCTTTGCCTGATACGTGTCGATTGGTAAGTTATGAGAGGTCGCTTCGGTGACATAGGGAATCAGCAGCCGTTGCGGCCTGTCAGCGAGTGACGCGGAGTCATTTCCGCGATATGGGGATCCAGCAGCCGCCGGGGCTTGTCGACGACTGACGTGGGATCACTTCTGTGTCATGGGGACCCAACAGCCGTCGGGGCTTGTCAGCGAGTGACGTGGAGTCACTTTTGTGTTATGAAAGGTTAAATAATACCGAGAAATAATATTCCGAGTCGCCCTTGGGAAAAGTGTCGGTTGATTGATGGGTAATCATCTTTTGCTCGACTGAGTCCGCCCTTCGAGTCGTCTTGGCATGAAGTCGACTCGACCGAACCTGCTCCCGGGATAGCATATTTGTGGGGGAACAGGGAACACCCCATAACAGGTGTTATTCATTAGGACAATGTGATTAAGATTTCACTTTAAGGTGTTATTCATTGGGACATGAGATTGAGACAATTAACCCCACTTTTCCCAAAATTATCTCATTTCTATACAAACTTTTTATTCCAACCTCCAAAAATTACCACATTCTTAACTTTGGGACAATCATGAGGAAAATGAGATAATTTTGAAGCACTAATTTACTAAATATCTAATATATATAGTAATTGTATTATAATATATAATATATTTTAATTATATTATATTATAAAATTCTATTATAACATAAGATAATAAAATATTATATAATATTATCTAATATAAAATTATTATATATCACTATTTAATTTACTATTTTCTATTATACTTTATTATATTAATTAATGGTTTTAAATATATTGTCAATATTTTGGTAGTTATAATATTAAATAATATTTTATTAGTACAATAAAAATTATAATAAATTACTATATATTAAAGTATGATAATATATATAAAATTAATATAATATAATATACTATTTAATAATATTTTTTAGTTAATAATAGTGAACATATTAATAGTATATTACGGTTATTATAAATATTATATTTTAATAAAGAGCCATGCCATCAATTATTCTATTTAAATTATAGTAATTATCATAAAATAAAATATTAAATTTTTAATAATAATATAATATTTTAAATAATGTTATATTGAATTAAACAAAATAATGTAATATTTGATTAAATATTATATTATTGAAATATTATATTAAATATATTGTTTGTATATTATATCAATAATTATAATATATTATATTATATTAATTAATAATATTAAATATAGTTATAATTAATTAGTAATTATAATATAATATATTATAGTTTAGTATAAAGTAAAATAAAATATTATATTATACTAACATACCAAATAATATGCTAAATTAATATTGTATTAGATAATAATAACACACCAAATAATATGCTAAATTAATTA